CAAAAAAAACAAAAAAAGAAGAGCATTTCTATATCATATTTAATAAAATAAATAAAAAAAAAGAAAATAAAAATAAATAAAATAAATAAATTAAAAAAAATAATTATTTTTATGTATTTATTGTGTTGGTTTGGGTTTTGTATGATTCAGCAGCAGAAAGATAAAAAAGAAAAAAAAGAAAAAAACAAAAAATATAAAAAAAGAAATAAAAAGAAAATAAAAAAAAAGAAAATAAAATAAAATAAAGAAGAAGAAAAAGAAGAAAAAGAAAAAAATTAAAAAAAAAAAGAAACAAAGATATACACTGCTCGGCAGAAAGGGTTTAGGGTTTAGGGTTTAGGGTTTAGGGTTTAGGGTAATGTGTATGTTTTTTTTGCGTTTAAAGAGAAAAATAAGAAAATAAAGAATAAAATAAAATAAAATAAAATAAATTTATTTAATTTATAAAAAAAAAAGAAAAAAAAAAAACTTTTTTTATATATTTGTGTATAAAGGTATTCTGCATCGGTCTGTTGGGGTGTATAGGCAGCTCCTAGAGAGAGAGAAATTTCTTCATAAAAAAAAAAAATAAAATAAAATAAAATAAAATAAAATAAAATAAAATAAAAATATAAAAATAAATTAATATTTTATTTATTTTATTTAAAAATTAAAACAAAAAAAAACAAAAATTTTTGTTTTTTCTTTTTTTTATATATATAAACCCTGAGGCCTGTTTCTCTCGTTTTTGTTTGTATTTTTTTTTTGTTTATTTTTCTTCTTTTTTGTTTCTATAAACGCAAAAATAAATTAATTTTTAATTAAAATTTAATTAAATTTATAAAAAAAAAAATAAATTAAACTTTTTTGTTTTTATTTGCTGCAGTTTTCTCTTTTTTGCTGCAGCAGCAGCCGCAGATCAACTGACCAATGGAACCTAAACCCTAAACCCTAAACCCTAAACCCTAAACCCTAAACCCTAAACCCTAGATAAAATAAATTAAAATAAATTAAAATAAAATAAAATAAATTAAAATAAAATAAATTTAGATATATATTTGCTTTTATATTTATATAAAACAAAATATACATACACAAATATCTACTCCTGCAGCTGCCTATACACCCCAAAATATATACGAAAAGCCTGAACAAAAAAACTATTTATTTTTATTTTATTTTATTTTATTTTATTTTATTTTATTTTATTTTATTTTATTTTATTTTATTTTATTTTATTTATATTTTATTTTATTTTTCTTCTTTCGATAGAGAGAATGTTTAGTTACATCTCCCTTCTCTTTCTATCCGTCTAGGGTTTAGGGTTTAGGGTTTAGGGTTTGGGGTTTAGTGTTTACTTAGGGTTTAGGGTTTAGGGTTTAGGGTTTAGATTCATTTGTATAGAAACAAATGTAGAGAAGGTAAACAACAAAAAAAACAAAAATAAAAAACAACAGAGATAAAATAAAACAAAAAAAGGAAGGAGACAAACCAATACATCAGCAGCAGCAGCAGCAGCAGCAGAAGCAGCAGCAGCAGAAGCAGCAGCAGCAGCAGCAACAGCAGCAGCAGCAGCAGCAGAAGCAGCAGCAGCAGGCACATGGTGAGTGCTATAGTCTTTCTTCTTCCTCTTTGTTATATGTATATATATATATATATATATAGTTTTTTTTTAATTTATTTATGTATTTGTTTTTTGTTGTTTATATGCGGTGTATATACACCGTATATACACCTCAGTTGTTGCTGTTTATAATTACTTTTTGTTTTTCTTTTGCTGTCTGTACACAAAACAAAGCAGCAGCAGCAGCAGCAGCT